TTTTAGCTCCACACGCATTTGTCTTCTGACCTCCGCCTTTCTCTCCTCCGGGGTCAGTTTGGACAGGCTTTGTAAAAGCTCCATCTGAGCAGTGAGGTGTTGTCTAGAAGAAATGCAAGTGTTCATGGTTTCAACTTTTTCTCTCTGTAGGTTTTCTAATGCTTTCTCTCCAGCAGGTTTGTGTGAAATGACCAGCAGAGTATTCCGTTGGTATGGAGATTCCATGGTCATAATTACATTACATGTTACTTGTTAGACGCTTTTATCCAAAGCGACTTACATACTCATTACTGTGGGAAATCCCCACAGGAGCAATTTGGGGTGAAGTGTTTTGCCCAGGGACTTCAGCTTCTGTGTCTATATATTAATGTTAAGTCACTTTTTAATTTATTTTCTTTTCTTTCTGCAATAGTTTTTGAGTCTATTCGAAACAAATATATAATTATAGTCATTTTGACCCTTTTCCTGGTTAATACATGTCCCTTTAAGTAACGCTTTGCAGGTGAAGGGTCCAAAAGTGTCACTCTCCCCATGGTCTGTACCCTGCAGGTCCGTTCAGTTATTCATCTTAATAATATATAATCCCAGTGAACTCAGCTTCAGACATATACAGTCCCCATTAAAGGACACTTTGGTGATCCCTTGTCTCTACCCTAACTGGGGTTGTCATTTTTAGGGTTTAGTTAAATATATTGATGAATATCAAATGGATCAATTAAATGTAATATAAATAATCCACCTTAAGACATATTAACCTGAGAAGACACTGTATGTTTTTGGAGATGCAGTTGACTCAATTAACTTCATGGTTATACAGCAGTTCTTGCCCTGCATATCTGCCAAGAAGGAGCTTCTGTTTCTTCCCTGGAAATATGTTGTTGTCAGTGTCTCAGACAGTGTAAGTTGAGTTCAGGATCGTGATGTAGAATTCTATTTCGTCCCTACTGACCGTCAGAGGCGGTGCTTTAGCACTGGATATATCCATCGCACGCATGCGCAGTTCGAGTACCAATAACAACAAAGTCACCTGTGACCCACGTGACACCGGCTACATAGGCCGGCGTCATCAGAGAATCCGTTCCTTTTCATCTTCTCGCTGCGCGAGAGTACCGTGGTTACATTCTTGTAGCCTACAGCGTTCAGGTTTGAACGTTTGATCTGAGCGATTTCTCTGCAAGCAGCTGGCCGCGTGCAGCTTTGCGACTGACAGTCGGAGCTACGGGTTGTTAACGCGTCCTCCAGGAGCTGTGGCCGGCTGTGGGCTGTGCAGAGCCTCGACGGACAGGTTTGTGTCAACTTGTTGTTGGTGATGGTTGTGTCCCCGCACCCTCTCCCAGCTAAGTTGTCCTGATTGCTGTCTTGTTTATTATTTGGCTTAGACTTTCTGGTGACGACAGTGTTCCCACTTCCTCTCCCGTAAAGTTTCCCTTATTATGCTCTTTTGAAAGTTCTGCTTGTGGCGTTGTGCCCGAGCTATTATTAGCATTTTGAGTTCCCAGCTTTAGCTGCGTCTCTCGTTCAATTTGGTATGGAAAGCCACGGGTGCCATATTTTGCCCGTTTTTTGTTTAGATGCAGAGTAGGGTAAGTACTGGCCATAGTTACTACTATAACTACGGTCCTATGCCATGTAAGCACTGGCCTACGGTTCTAGGCGGGCTGTTCTCTTCATTATAAGCTAATTATCTGGTCTTAAAATGTGTGTTTTGACTTGGTCGCTTGATTGTTAGCAGCAGCCGCTTGGCTAACACCTTGCATGTACTGTTAAGCTTAATTATTTAACTCAGCTGGTGAAGGCAGTGCTCTCGCTCCCGCTCCCTGTAACATATTGCTCTGATTGTTATCAGCGGCCGCTTGGCTAACATCTGGCGTGTTCTGGTGAGCTTGTTTAACTCATCCAGTGAAGGCAGTGTTTTTTCGCCCTGCTCCTGGTAGACGTGCTGCTTGATTCTTAGCAGCAGCCGCCTGGCTAAGCTGCCCCGTTAAGCTTCTTTATTTAATCCAGCTAGGTGAATGCAGTGCTCTTGCTCCCGCTCCCTCTGCTAATAACGTGGGTGTAAGTCATTTACATCCCTCTCTGTGTTCGGCGAGTAGGAGCATTGCTCTACTCTTTCCGTTCAGCAGGTAGCTGGTGAAGGCTGTGTTCTCGCACCCGCTCCCGGGTACGCTGCACCTGGCATTCGTTATGAACTCAACCAGTGAAGGCAGTGTTCTCGCCCCCGCTCCTGGTAGACGTGTTGCTTGATTCTAGCAGCAGCCGCTAAGCTATCCTGTTAAACTTCTTTACTTAATCCAGCCAGGTGAAGGCAGTGCTCCCTCTGCCGGTAACGTGGGTGTAGTTACATCCCTCTTTGTGTTCGGCGAGTAGGAGCATTGCTCTACTCTTTCCGTTCAGCAGGTAGCTGGGGAAGGCTGTGTTAGAAACACTGTCAAGGATTAGCGGGAAAAGGTAGGACCCAAATGCAGACTACAAAAAGGTAAAGGTTAAAACAAAAGCGAGCTTTATTTAAAAGCTGAAAAACAAAAAACATGGCATGAATCAAAAACATTGATAGTACAAGGTAGCAAGAATACACAAAACTGACCATGACCAACATGGAGGGAGACAGGAGAGACAAACGATGAACCGACATGGAACACAGGGGAAGACTAGACTAAATACACAGAAGGGTAATCACAGGACAAGACACAGCTGGGCAGGGGAGGGAGAAACACAAGGGCAACAGGTGAACACAATGAGACAATCAGACACACCAGGGAAACTAACGACAGGGAGGAGGACCAGACAAAACACAAGGAGGAAGACAAAACACCGAATGAACAGACTTACAAAACCCATAACCAGACAGACAACACTAAAACCGTGACATAAACCTGGGAGTGTGACAGAACACCCCCTCAAGGGACGGATCCCAGACGTCCCAAAAAACAAAGTCCAGCAGGGTGGGTGGAGGGGGTCTGGAGGACGGTTGGAGGGCAGACGGCCCGGGGTCAAGGCAGAGACCAAGGAGGGGGTCTCGGGCGGAAGGCCCGGGGGCAAGGCAGAGTCCAAGGTGGGGAACTCGGGCGGACGGCCCGGGGGCAAGGCAGAGACCATGGAGGGGCGAAGACCACAGCGGGCGAACTCAGGGGGCCGAGCATGAGGGCGAAGGCAGCGGCAGGAAGAGTCAGGGAGCCGGGTCCGAGGGCGAGGACCGCGGCCGGGAAAGTCAGGGGGCCGGGCTCGAGGGCGAAGACCGCGGCACTCAGGGGGCCGGCCTCGAGGGCGAAGACCGCGGCTCTCAGGGTTGCGGGCTCGAGTCCGAAGACCAGACAGCTCCGGAGGCCGGGCAGGAGCCGGTGTCGACCGGACAGGAACCGGAGCCGGTGGGACAGGTGTCGGCAAGATCCCCCACGGAAGAGGACAAGGAGTTGGCAGGACCCCCAGCGGAACCTCCAACGGACCAGAACATTGGGTAGGGACTTGAGAGGGGACTCGAGAGGTGACTTGAAAGGAGACTTGAGAAGGAACTCGAGAGGAGACTCAAGAGGGGACTCGAGAAGAGACTCGAGAGGGGACCCGAGAGGGGACTCGAGAGGAGACTCGAGAGGGGACTTGAGAGGGATCTCGAGAGGGAACTTGAGCGGAGACTCGAGAGGTGACTGGAGAAGGAACTTGAGAGGGGACTCGAGAGGATACTTGAGAGGGAACTCGAGAGGAGACTAGAGAGGAGACTCGAGAGGGAACTCGAGAGGGAACTCGAGAGGTGACTTGTAAGGAGACTTGATAGGGAACTCGAGAGGTGACTGGAGAGGTGACTGGAGAGGGAACACGAGAGGTGACTTGAGAGGGAACTCGAGAGGTGACTTGTAAGGAGACTTGAGAGGGAACTCGAGAGGGGACTGGAGAGGTGACTGGAGAGGGGACTTGAGAGGGAACTCGAGAGGAGACGCGAGAGGGGACAAGATAGGGAACTCGAAAGGGGACTCGAGAGGAGACTCGAGAGGAGACTTGAAAGGTGCCTTGAGAGGGAACTTGAGCGGAGACTCGAGAGGTGACTGGAGAAGGAACTTGAGAGGGGACTCGAGAGGATACTGGAGAGGGAACTCGAGAGTGTAGAGGAAACTTCTGTGTAGCATGCAGTGGAGTCACCGACTCAGGAAGGAGACACGGGAAGAGTCGGAGCTTTGATGTCAAACCACTGTGATTTATTTGCAGTTGGTACCAGAGTATTCACATCACAAATCCAAGAGTCAGAGGTTCTGACTCCACGGTAGAGTTGCCACGTCAATTCTGGAGAGCCTCTCTCTTGCCAGCCCATCTAACTGGTTTCGCAGAGAGTAAACAACATATTTGAGGAGATAGCCTAAACAGTGTGGGAACACAGAGCTACTTGCCTCCGACACTTATGACCTCGAAGATTTTACCTTGGAGTCCACAAATACAGAGAAGGAAGTGTCCCAGTGTACCCACAACACAGACCATCTGTATCCCAGTATTGACCGGTCACAGAATGGGAACAATAACATTATTGGCTAAGCCGCCTGTGTCCTTAAAGAAGGTAAACAGACATCGAGGTTTGTCCTGTATGTTACTAATTGGCGTCTTATGATAATTATTTCCACAACAGTCCTCTCTTTTTATCATTTATGATAACCTAAAAACATTAGTCTAATAATAATTTGGTCAATAATTAACTCAATAGGCGTCTCCAGGTTCGAGTGTGGTCTCACCTTACATCAATTATATCACAAAGTGGAATAAGATTGAAATATTCAATCACAATGATTGATACAGCCAATCATAATAGGAAAAATCATCTCTCATCAGTGGTTTGATCATCTTTTGTCAAAAGCATAATAATGAACACACATAAAACACAGGTGCACAATGGCTAAATATGTGTTTTAAACTAATATCTTTTATCATTTACCATTAGTTAATTTCATTCATCAAACTATAAAATCAAAACCAGCTTGCCGCTTTAAAGATTTACTTGAAGGCAATCACTAGTCAAAAGCATAATAAAACTCAGGATCGTAAGAGACCCTGCTAAAAATTCACAGTTAGAGTATAGAATTCACAATGGTGATTTGATCAATCTGTGATCTGCAAAATTGCAGTGTCCTCAATTTTAGGATTATCTTAAGAGTCAGGCACTTAATTTTAGTAATATCAATACATTCAAAATCTGAAAAGGAAAAGTCAGACATGTATTGTGTAGTGTAACAACCTGAAAAGGAAAAAATCAACTTTAATCAGTTTTAATTAATTGGCCATTCGTTGTAAGGGGGAACCCATGGTTCGGGTGCCACGGTAGAGACCCACGGGTCGGGAAGCTCGACGTCGTACATCATCACGGTGTCATCAATGGTGTCGTACCCCACCAGTGTCTGTGGGGCCTGGAGGGCGGTTTTGACAACCTTTTGCATGACTAGTTTAACAACAGTGACTAGGCACATTATCAGGATTAGTACAGCTAAGATAAACAGTGAAATGGTAATGGCAAGTTTACCCAATCCCGCTCCCCATGACCCAAATATTCCAGATAAATCCCCAAATGCAAACCCATGAGTTTCGTGCAATTCTTTTATTCCCCTAGCAGTATCATGAGCCATATCCATGACCTCAGGTGTAGCATCAGAGATGAAAGAACAACACTCAGAGCCAATCACCTTGCACGTGCCCCCCTGTGCTGCTAGCAGAAGATCCAGTGCCATGCGATTCTGTAATGCCACTGTTCTAACTTCCTGCAGTTCTTTGTGTTCAGCCAACATGGCTCTGTTGGATACATTGAGGTGGTTTTCCACTATTTTGGAGAGAGCTATGATTTCCTGCTGGGAAACATAAATGCCGTACCAGGGCAGGACAGCGCTAGCCAGCTGCTGACCTGTTGTGATGGTCCTACGATTTCTGTGTAGGGAGGGGAGTATTGCTGCAATCTCATCAATCTCTACTTTACGGATCAAAGGGATTAGATAGGCTAGATAACAGGTGCCATCAAAAGTGTCATAAGGCATGCAACTGTAGGCTCTGTCTCCACAGACCAAGTAAACTCTCTCTGGGAGGGGAGTACTGGTTAGTTTGACCTTTATTACGGTGTTACAGTCGCTGTGGCCCACATCGTGAGAGGGTAGAAACCCTCCTCCGTTCTGAAAGCAGATAGACACATTCTTCCACTCATGCACCACAACTGGGGGAATATAAACTGAACAGTCACGTGTAGGGGACTTACCTAGGGGTAATGGCAGCGAGCAGTCATGTATTTTAACTTTAATCGAGTCCACTGTTCGGGACCCAAACCAGGGTACCACTGTTACTAAGGCTTCAACCAACAAAGATGGTGTGTGTGGTTGAGGTGAACATGTGTGTCCCGTATAGTTAATTGAACAATTAGTCTGGACTAGAGCTAATTGGAATCTGTATTCAAAAACTAGGTTTAAGTACTTCTTCACATATATAATTTTTAGGACCATTACTCGCTTGAAACCGTCTGGTAGGTAATCCTTATTTATTGTGTCAACAATGAGCGAGATTAAGCCCTTGTACCTTAAAGGTTGCTTGGAGTCTATGGGGTAAGAAGGGATGTAACAATCATCGGTCTCATCGCTAATTCGGGAGGCTATATCATTCCAGCTAACTAAACTATAGTCAGGTTTTGTGAAAGGAATTGGGCTGAACATGGGAGAGTGCATGGACTCTGGCATATTTTGGAACAGCCAACAGTTGCTAACATTGCGTTCATGTGCATAATCTATCATTAAATTTATTGCAGAATTAGAATGGGTTTTAGTTTGTTTAGGTGGAGTGATATGGGCACTCTTTAAAGAATCTACATCACTTCCTGGTGACTTAATTACAGCTGGACCTGGTTCCATATTTGAGCATCTAGTGACCCCTGTACTGGGATCTCTGTAATTGGGTGTCCATGTGGTACACATAGGATCATTCTTTAACTGTTCTTTAGTGAAACACCACATTTCTGGGGGTACATTTGCAATGGTGTTGAGTGTTATTCTTACCATCCGCTGCGAGACCTGGAACCGCTGGTACCCCGTCTCTGGATAGACGTTCCACGCCCATAAGCCTTTGCTTGAAAACACAGGAAACACAACAACACAGTCATGTGAGTTACAGTGTGTAGTCGGACATTCAAAGGAAATATTCTGTAATCCTGTTTTGGGAATGTCAAGAGCAGGGAGAGGGAGTAGCCTTATCTCGGGGCCCACTTTCCTCTTTTTTCTCCCTCTTTTTCTAAATGTTTGTGTGATGGTGGGAAACAACCTGATTTTGTTGCTAGGCAATGGTGTGCCCGTTGATGTGGTTTGGCCTTCAGGGTCTGGGCCCTGAATAGCCAAACTGCCTGCGCCCTTGGATAAGAGCACCTTATATTCACCTTCTGAGGGGCGAGAGCCCTCGCCACCTGTCATCGGGATTGGTTCCGCCTCATCTGGCGGGGTTTCCTTGGCCAGGTATAGTAGACCCAGACCAAGGAGTATGAGGACATTCATCACACGCCAGCACCCTGACCCTCCCCTCTGATCGGCGGAGGAGACAGGCGGTATCGAGAAGCGTGGATCCACTCTGTCCTGCCTTGAACCTTTAGGGCTGTTCTGGTCACTATTAACACCTGGAAAGGACCTTTCCACCTGGGAGACAGAGCATCTTTTTCAAGAGACTTGATTAGCACATTATCACCAATCTCAAAAGGGTGGGTTGGCTCCTCTCCAGGTTGAGGGAGCCTGTCAGCCACCTGTCTGTGAAACTTTCTCAACATGTCAGTCAAATATTTTACATAGTTAGTCATGTAATCATCTGTCCATAACAGAGTAAGCTTATGGGGTGTCACTGGGGGACTGGACCCTGTGGACATTACCCTTCCCATCAATACTTCGTGGGGGCTAAGCCCTGTCGTAGCATTTGGTGTGTTTCTGATGGAACACAGGACTAGTGGTAGTACATCTACCCATTTCAATCCTGTGGTCAACATTGTCTTGGTGAGTTTCTCCTTTATGGTCAAGTTCATTCTCTCAACCTGGCCTGAGCTCTGTGGGTGATAGGGAACGTGCAACTGCCATCTGAACCCTAACACTGCAGCTAGACTCTGGGTTATCTTAGAGACGAATGCTGGACCTCTGTCACTGTTAATCCCTGCTGGAACACCAAATCTAGGGATAACATCTTTGAGAAGACACTTTACAACTGTTCTAGCGTCTTCTTTTCTGGTTGGGTAAGCCTCTACCCATTTGGAGAACTGGCACACTATTACCAAGAGATACTTGCAACCTTGGCATGGTGGCATGTGTGAGAAGTCGATTTGCATATTTACAAAGGGCCCCGACGGGGGTACCAAGTGTTCGTGTTGGACTGGGCCACTTTTCTTTCTTGTCTGCTGGCATGTCATGCATCTATCTACTAGGGCCTGTGTCGCTAGTGTGATGCCTGGGGCAAACCATTGTGATTGTATAATCCCATTCATCCCTCCTTTTCCTACATGTGTAGAGCCATGAGCAACATGTGCCAAAACATGGAGGAACAAGCGGGGGCAGACCATTCTGCCATCTGGGTGGAGCCACAAGCGGGACTCTGCGTCAAGTGTACAACTTCTGCGCAGCCATAAGTCTTTCTCCCTAGCATCAGCGCGGGCTTGCATGTCCGCGACATCATTAAAGGAAGGCAAACAAATGGGTTCTGCAGGTTGTGTGGAGGGACATTGGAGCACCATGGAGGAAGAGGAAATGGCCGCTTGTTTAGCCGCCGTGTCGGCTAACGCATTTCCGCGTGCAATAGGATCATCAGAATTTGTGTGAGCAGCTGATTTAACTACTGCTAGTTGTGCAGGGAGCAAGATAGCGTCTAACAGTTGAGCCACTAACGCATGATGTTGAATAGGCTTACCAGCCGATGTTAAGAAACCGCGCATTTTCCACAGGACTCCAAAATCGTGGCATACCCCGAAAGCATACCTGGAGTCTGTGAAAATGGTCGCAACTTTATCTTTAGCCAAAATGCACACTCTAAGTAGAGCATACAACTCTGCCGCCTGAGCCGACGTGCCATTGGGCAACGCTCGGCTTTCTAAGACTTCCCAGTCGTTCACAACAGCATAGCCAGCTAAGCGTAATGTGTCAGACGGTCTGCAGGCAGACCCGTCTGTGTACAGAATCATATCTGAATTTGGGATTGGAGTTTGCAACATATCAGTTCTGGGCGAAGAAGACAGATCAATGGTTGTGATGCAGTCATGTGTTAGATCAAAGTCTGGTATTGGGACCAGTGTGGCTGGGTTCAGAGGAGGGGAGCGCCTGAGAGTGATGTGCGGGCTTGAAAGAATGACCGCCTCATAACCAGAGCGCCTTGCTGCTGTCATATGCTGAGTAGCAGAGGTGTTCAGAATATGCAAAACTGCATGTGGGACATGTACTACACAGTCACTGGCCAGTACAATGGGAGAGGATTGCTTGATAACCATTGCAACTGCGGCCACTGCTCGCAGGCATGAAGGCATACCAAGTACCACAGGGGAAAGTCGAGACGAATAATACGCCACAGGCCGAAAATTAGAGCCATGCTTCTGTACCAAGATGCCCGTTGCAAAGCCCCCCCTTTCATGGACGTGTAGATGAAAAGGTTGATGGTAATCAGGGAGACCCAGGGCCGGAGCCGATGTGAGGGCCTGCTTTAAGTCCTGAAAAGCTGTGTGCATGTCCTCAGACCAGTGAACAATGTTCGGGGCGGCCTGCAGAGTGGCAGCACGCAGGACGGAGTCCATAGCAGCGTACTCGTATATCCAATGTCTGCAGTAGTTTGCCATGTCCAAGAAGGAAAGCATCTCCTTCTTTGTGCGCGGTGGTGGCACTTTGTTCAAAAGGCAGACTCTCGCAGGTGAGAGGAGGCGGTGTCCATCTCTCAGAATGTGACCCAAATACGTGACCTCAGTCTGGCAGTATTGCAACTTGGCCAGGGATGCTCTGTGTCCGCATTCAGAAAGTCTTTTCATGAGCAAAATGGAGTCGATGCGACAGGCGTCTTTGTTAGGGGATGCTATCAACAGGTCATCAGCATACTGAAGGAGGGTGCTACCCCCTGTAAGGACCAAAGTGTCCAGGTCTCTTTTAACAGCTGCGGCGTACACAGTGGGTGATTCAACAAACCCCTGCGGGAGGCGTGTGTATGTGATCTGTTTACCTTTGAAAGTGAACGCAAACAGATACTGGCTTTCTGGATGCAAAGGTATAGAGAAAAATGCTGAACAAAGATCAATGACTGTGTAGTATGTGCTGTCTGGAGGCAAAGAAGCAAGGATTGAATTGGTGTCAGGCACAATGGGTGCTGTGGGAATGACAATGGCATTAATAGCTTGCAAATCTTGGACAAAACGCCACTCATCAGGGCGATTGTGCTTTGGGATTGGCAAAATTGGTGTATTGCAGGGGCTGGAGGTGTAAACCAGGACCCCCTGAGCGAGTAGCGACTCTATTACCCTCTGTAATGCCCAAAATGGCTTTTATTGGTAAGTTGTACTGTCTGATCGCTGGCAATCTGGCATTGGCTTTAAGTGTCACTCTGTGAGGGGGTGCAGACTTTACAAACCCCACATGGTTCTTGTGTTTCGCCCATAAGGTGGCTGGGACCTCTGAGAAATCTGAAGGGGGGCCATACTCTGTGGGGAGGGGTGGTTGAAAGTGAGAAAATGTGCTTTGGGGGAGACACATGGGCTTAGGGAGACGTAGCATGTAATGTTCCTCCCCTAAATTGATCAGATTAGGTGTGTGTGTGCGTGGCAGAGAAGCTGTTGCAACTTCTAGCCGGGCCTGGCAGTGGGCTGCCATGACCCCCACCTCCTCAGGACTACTGCCTGTAGTGACAGCTAGTGTGACGTGTGGGGCAGTTTCTACAACATGAAAGCCCTGTTGTAAGGGTGTGAGCCTAATAGGCAATGCGCACCCCTGTGGACCTATAAATAGAAACTGTTCACATTCCAACCGATCTGAGCTATTGCAATAACTCCTCACTGACAGTGCATACTCATTTGATGGGTTAAATGCAGCTGTGCAGTGACAATGTAACACAGGCCTCATAGATGACATCATAGAGGCACATGCTGGGGAAATGCTAGCAATGTTTTGAATTCCCTCTGTGGAAAAAATGGAAAGCATTTGGAAATCTGGAAATGTCCAACAATAAAGATTGTTTAGAGATGATTGTATGAATTGAACAGCCTGATATACTCTGCTGTCTGGTATTGTCAAATACAGTCCGTCTGGTGTGCAATGTATGGTTGCTTGTAGCTTACACAGTAGGTCTCTGCCCATCAGGTTAATTGGGCTCCCCTCTGAGATAATGAAAGAGTGTTGCACCTGTGATCCATCAACGGAAATATTAGTTCTCTCTGAAATAGGCTCTGCTATTGGAACGCCGGAAACGCCTACAGTGGTAACAAAACTGTTAGTTGCTTTACACACCTTCTCTTTTGTTCGTACAGCTGATAATGTTGCACCACTGTCAACCAAAATGTCAACAGTTGTGCCATTAACCTCAACCGGCATCATTGGATCTTCGCGGGGGTTAGTGGAAAGGCGAATAGTTGCTGCTTGAATGTGGATTTTTTGTGTTATTGACCCTATTCCTCCATGGCCTCCCTATTGTTCATTATAGCCACCCTGTGCTGCTGCATACTGCCCCTGCTGGGCCTGCCTGTCATAGGGTGGAAAGTGGCTGCTGGACATAGGTGGGGGAGGCGGCAGTGTGGGCTGCAGGGGTGGGGGCAGAGCAGGCAAATTGTGTGTGTGCTGCTGTGCCCCCCACCTCTTAGGACATTTCCCTGCCCAGTGCTCAGTGCTGCCGCATACGTGGCAGTGCATTGGTTTTTTTTGGTTTTTGTTTTGCTGCTGCCTGTTCTTGTTTTGATAACCTTGTGACTGTCCTTGGTTCTGATACTGTGGTGTGCTGTTTTGTCCCTGAGTCTGCTGGTAGTTACTCTGACCTTGATAAGCCTGTGTGCTTCCCTGTTGCAGCACCTGTGCCGTTCGGGGAATCAGAAAAATCTGGCTTCTGTGTAGGGCCCGCATGGTGGCAATAGTAACTTTCCAGGTTTTCATCTGCCAATCGGGGGTGGCTAACATGTAAGCTTGAGCTGTCTCCGGGATAAGGTTATGCAATAAGCTCTGTACTGCAAAGAAATCATTGATCTCTCTTTTAATGCCTGCATTGTTGTCCCACACCGTTATGAATCTCTGGATAAAGTCTGGCACTGTTTCTGTAGGGCTCTGGATGCAAGCCATCACTTGGGAAAAGTCAGTGTGAGTTTTAGCACAAGCTTTGATAGCCCTAGCTCCGTCAGTATCTAGCCACTGAGTGAGGGACTGTGTTACAGGCCAATCTCCTGCGTTTGTGCACACTGGAAATTTAAACTCATCTTTGCATGTTGGCCATTCGGCTTTGTATGTGAGGACGATCAGCTGTTTAACATCATGCACCAAACAGTTATAGACCATACACACATTAGTCA